TAACCCTCTTAGAGCTGTGTGTGTGTGTGTGTGTGTGTGTGTGTGTTTTATGTGCGGTGTGCGCATGCACATGCCCCTGCCCGCACATGCACATGTGTGCATGTCCTCGTGTTTCCCTCGATGCTGGCCTGCAGCCCTAATTGCCATCTCTAACCTGCATCTATGCGGAAAATGCATTCTGCCTTTCAAACCACAGCCTTGCAAATGCACGTTGGGAACACGGTCTGTTTGTAAGCTGGGGCTGACAGCGTTAACAAACAGCTCTTGGCCCAGGGCAGCCTCACAACCAAAGGCCATGTGGTTTAAGGTTCGTGTAACAGCCAGTTCATTTCAATAATGCTAGCTAGACCTCGGGCTCTCAGGTTCTCCGGTTTCTGGGTCGTTTAGAGAAGAGGGCAGCAGGCTTTCTACAGTGACAGGGGCGGGTGTGGTCTGCCCGCTCCCTAGGAGAAATGCCACATTCCTGCTTTTAATGGCTTGCCCTGCAGGTTTTTAGGACCTAGGCTCTTCCGAGGGCAAGCTTTTCAGTTCTGCTGAACAATTGATCTTGAGAAAGAAGAACTCCTTTTAAAAAGCGGTTGTAGTTCCAAGCTTGGAAGTTCAGCCAGGGTCATTCTAGTTTAATGAGTGCAGGGGCCCCTCAGTGGGAGGGAGAACCACATTTCAGTCCTCCCTGGGGCTCCTGTCCCTCCCCTCACCCTGTTTTCTTTTTGCCAGTGCCTTTAACGTTGTCTCCTCTTCACTCAGTTAGAAGCCAGACAGCCCATCCCAGGCAAACTAGTCCATTGACCCAGCCGTAAAAAGAGCTGGTCTTTCTCAAACACTCACAGTTTGCCCAGGCCTTGGGGTCTGAGGTCTTTTCGTCCTCGGAAGCATCCCTTGTAATGCTGTCACCGGCTTAGAGCAGGATCAAAAGAGAATGCTTAGCAACACCCAGGCTGTCCCAGCTTCCTGCCCCTGAGGCTATGGTGTGGGGTCAGTCTTTAGGGCCTGCCCTCATAGCTCCTGTACTTCAGGATTAATTGCCAGAATCACACCACAGCTCTGTCCCACCAAAGTCTTGTTCTTATGAAAGAAAAAATAAGAATGTTCTTAAAAAAGGCCGGCTATAGACTCACCTGCAGGAGGCTGCTGTTAGTTTTGACTTCTAACACACGTTTGATCTACTCTGCTTCCTACCCATGCGAATAGCTGAAAATTATTATTACTAGCGATATCATTGCTTTCACTGGGGTAGAACCAGGCTTTCCTGTGTGCTAGGCAAGCTCTCTGCTTCTGAGCTGCATCCCCATTCCAGGTACCTGAAACTTCATGTCGTGCCTACACCTTAGGGCTCCCAGGCCCCCCTCTGCTGGCAGAACCTTCTGCTTTCCCCATTTGAGTCTGTGGAAGCGCAGCCCCTCATTCCAGGGCCTGGCAGCTTCCATTCTTCCCTGCTCTTCCCCAGACGCCAATGGCAATACATCTCCCTCGATGCCTCGCTCTCCCAGGCTTTTCCGTCTGCTTCAATGCCAGATGGCTTAGTGTTGAAGCTGTCGCTATGTAGAACGGTTCCCCTTTGTGCTTGAGGGGGGCATTCCAAAACACGGTGGATTCCTGAGACGGTGGATAGCACCAAACAGTGAGTAAGAGACCACAGGGTATCCTCAGTGGATCTAGTAACTAAAGGGGTTATTAAAGGATGAGCATATGGGTAGTGCATAGTGTGGACACAGTGAACAAAGGGGTCATTTATATCCTTGGCAAGACATCCACAACAGATTTCATTGTGCTTCAATGAGATTTTGCTTTAAAAGATGGACTGTAACAGCTATCGGATGCCCTTCATATCCCTAACCTGAAGGGCCCTGTCATGACAGAATAAAAATCCTCTTGCTTTTGCATCAGTTGCACCTGTGAGAGTGGTGTCTGGAGCAACTCCTCCCTGATGTTTGCACATCTAGTCCAACAATACATCAGTGCAACTCTAAATTATATGGGCTTTTGCCTGGCATCTTTTTCATATTTTTATTGAATTTTTAATTTATTTTACATACTTACCACAGTTTCCCCTCCTTCCTCTCCTCCTATTCCCTCCCCCACCTCCTTCCTACCCCCTCCCATTTACTCCTCAGAAAGGGCAAGGCCTCCCGTGGGAGTCAACAAAGCATTTGCTCGACTTTGGTGCCTTACATGCTAGTGCCTTGCTTCCGATACTCATACATCATACATGTAACATGCCTCAGCACGCCACTGCTTTTGGGGGATGAATAATACTCCACCCCAGGGACACACCACATTTTGTTCACAAATCATGAACTGTTGGGTTGTTTATGCTTTGGGGCTGGCGTGGATCATGATGCCATCAGAAATCAGTAGGGAAATAAAGGTCAAAGCCACAGCGAAACGCGGCTTCACACCCATCGGAATGGCTGGCTGGCAGGAAACCGCCAGATAATGACAAGTTCGGGTGACGATGTGAAATTCCTCGTAAATTACAAGCAGCCTTGTAAAACGCAACCGCTTTGGAAAATGGTTTGACAGATCTTCAAAATTCTAAACGCGCAGTGGCCGTATGAATCACCAGCTGTACCCTGTTGACGCATATTCAAAAGAATGAAAAGTTGGGCTCACAAAGGGCACTTGCTTACAGTTTCAGACTCATCTCGGAATGGATGGATTCTCACTCTTTGCGAGGTTCTCAAACTTCCTCTGCCCTTCATTTCTACTTCCTCCACGATGGTTGTGGGTAATCCTTTCAGGTTGGCTGAGGTTGGTCCTGTCTTCTGCGTTAGCTGAGCTGGAGGATGCTCGACCTCTCTTGCATCGCAAGTTCACGGATTTCAGAGCAAAGCAGGAAAGGATCAGAGCAGAAGCTGATGCTGTCATGGTGGACCCTGCAGGCTTAGTAGGTGGTGCGCAGGTAGAACCGAGGAGGAGGTGGTGTGGCCGTCCTCACACCAGAAGGTCTTCCGGGCACGGTCACCATCACTTAGAAAGGGAAGGTGGCTTCTGTGTCTAGATGGCCTCCCTGAGTAGCAAGGCGGGGAGTCTTTGGGTCAGATAGGCCCAGAAGGGACAGTGCTGTGCTACTCAGCTTTCTCTCGATTGCCTGACACAGACAACCTGAAAGGAAGGAGAGGGTTTCTGTTTGTTCACAGTTTTAGAGGGTTCGCTCTACCATGGTGGGGAGGGCACGGTGGTGTAGGGCAGTTCAATCATGGCAGCCAGAAAGCAGGGAAAGGAGATACAGGAAGAGGCCAAGTAAGATGCAGCCTTCAAGACACCTTCCCTGTGACCTCTTACTGCTCTCTCTCAACTCCTGCCATGTCTTGCCTCTCACCACTTCCTGATAATGCTATCGTATTATGTACCTGTCAAGGATTAAATCAGAGCACACATGACATCATTCCAGATGCCCAGAGTTGGGTTTACTAATGCACTAGGCATTTCCCCATCCAGTCGAGCCAACGGATTAAATTAACCACTGTAGGCAGTGCTGTCTCTCTTAACTGTCTTAATAGATGACATTCTGGTGTGAGCCACTGACATTTCTCGAATGAGTCAAGCATTCTGTTTTCTGCGTTTGTTAGCTGTTCTCTCATCCGTGCATCCCTGAAGGCGATGGACAGGTCCCTTTGACACCCTGTGATGGTGTGTGCCTCTCCTCTTTACTGGAGTGCCTGTGCTTGTATCACCGGAATCTGGTATAATTCCTCTAGAACAAAGTTGGACTAGGGCAGAACTGCTGCATCCACACTTAGGTAAGTGTCTGGTTTGTGGATAGGCACTTGATGTATATTTGTTGATGAATGATCCCTGTCCAATAACTGGCAATCAGTAAATATTTGGCGAGTTAATAAACTAGTTTGTACATACACAATGTGTTTCGCAGACAAACATCACACGGTTCAATCCTGCAGACTCAGTAACTGCAAAGGGCAGTGTCGAAGGCTTATGCTTGGATTGGTTTTCAGTGTTTCCACCCTCTTTCACTATAGAACATTGAAAACCTGATCGTGCATGTGCTGGAAGTAGTCAGACAGATCATTGTTCGATGAGAAACAGGGGGTGGGGGGGAGGGGATGGGGAGTATTTTTGGGTAGCTGAGCCCCCTGTGTTGTGAATTTGAGTCCACTGAACTGTGTTTATAAGTATCGCTTTTTATCCTTTGTGAGCTGGGAAGTGCCACTCAAAAAACACTTACGTTTGGTTTTTATAGAGCAAATCCTATCTTGAGCTATTTATTAAAGGGAAGAGGCATGAGCTGCCTAGGGATCTATAATTATATAATCCTTAGCTTTTCTGTTGAGGCTAGTCTTCTTCTTCTTTTTTTTTTTTTTTTTAAATGTTTAAGCTTCTCCAGGCTGTTTTCACCCCCTTTGCCACGTTAGGAGACAGTGAGAAGGAGCCATCTATGAAGCAGAGACTTCACCAGACACTGAATCTATTGGCTCCTTGACCTCTCCGAGTGCCAGAGCCGTAAGAAATAGATTTCTGGTGACTTTAACCACCCAGTCTAAGCTACTGTCATAGTGGCCGCCATGGATTGAGGCAGGCATTTATGGCTGTCTCTTTGACTCTTCTGCTTTTCAGCACCTTCTCCCTTTATCCTGGCTTCCAGTCATGTCCTCCAAATCTTGACTTTCTTTACCTCAGGGGGCAGAGCTTACGTGGGGACAGAATTACCATGTCCACAAGGGCTGCTTTCTTACAGTAAGAATCTCCTGCAGGGAGCAGCAGGATTCTGAAGCCTGTGGCCCTGCAGGTCAGAGTCGCATTGCATGTAACTGAACTGCTGAGAAGGGCCAACAAGAGCCTCCAAGCCTCTGGGGTTTGCAGGGGTAGCAGTGATGAATTCTGACTGAGAGGCGAGGTACATGCTAATGAAGGAAGAGGGGATTCCTAATCAAACCCTGCAGTAGCTGGGAGCATCAACCTGCTGGAGGGACGGCTGGGCCTCTGGCCTCCCTCCCAGCTCCTTAGTCAAAGGGGGCATGACAGAAGACAAAGACTAGGTATAACAGGATGTAAAGTTTATATACAAAGAATATAATGTTTATCTGAAATATTTACAGTGTTGGTTAAAGCAATATTTTTACAACTTCTCCGGGTAAACTACTACGTATATTACAAGTAAGCTACAATGATTTAATTTGCAAATATGAAAAAAATTGAGTAAAAATGCTTTAAACAAAGTTTAAAATGCTCAAGCCAATTTCTAAGACTGTATTTGCTTCGTCCTTTATGTGACGCGTTCATGCAACGAGGAGTGGTTAATTGTACTCTTATAAAAGTTCTGTAGCTGGGATGGGACGCATGCAACGGGCGAGGGTAATGAGGGTGTAAAAAGGAGCGATGAAGCGTCTTTTGAGACGTAGACGCCGAGGCTGGAACAGAGGAAGACGTCGAGATAACAGCCAGCTTTATCTCAACCAAGTCTGGGACCCACAAGGGTAGACCACAGAGAAAAATGAAACAATTTGCCTGGCATGGCAACCTTAGTGCACAGAACAAACCAGTGGACTGACCAGAGAGGGAAGATGCCCCTCAGGTCACGGTACTACTTACTCAAAACTAACCTTAAAACGAGCTGTTTTCAAACTTCATAAAAAAGAGTCACGATTTTATTAGCTTGGATATTTCTACAAGATCTGGACGGGCTTTCGCTCTATGTGAAAACATCCGTTCCCGGGGCCTCCTAGGGCCTTATAACTCAGGAAACGTTAGGGATACACACATGCAAGAGGCAGGGCAAGCCGCTCCAAGTCGGGGCCGAAACTTTCAGGACTGTGCTTGGGAAACCGGAAGTGAGTTCGCAGAGCGGAAGTGGTCCACCGAGCCCAGGGCCCACTGGCAAACTAGCACTGCAGCTTGCGGATGCTGCGGGAGATGCGCTTGAATTCTCGCTGGCCCTTCTGCCACCGTTTCACCGAGGTGATCACCAGCTCCCCACCCTGCTTCTGTCCCATGACCAGGTAGGGCGCGTTGATGTCGTTCATCTCCTCACAGGTGCACTGTAGGCTGTCTTTGAGCCACAGCACCGATTTCTTCAGGTCCCTTTCAGACACGCCGTTCAGCTTGTAAATGGTCTTGCTCTTGGTTTCCAGGATGATTTTGGTGTCTCTGTTGATGTAGGTTATCTCCTTCACTTTGATTTTCAGTGCTGCGAAGACAAGAGGGGTGGGGGACAACATAGAACGTGAGTTACGATGAGGGAGAGCCGGGAAGTGTTAGCTTGGCTGTCTATTCTGTGCTTGGCCTGTGGGAGGAAGAGGAGAGTCCTATAGCCAAAAAAGACGAGGGTCTGGAAGAAGCTTTTGTGTTGGTAAGCCCCTTGGCATGTGGTTCATGCCACCCTCAGCAAACGACTCCCCTACTGGAGGAGACTTCAGCATGGGGAGAAATGCCTAACTCTTGGGTGAAACATGCGTCTCCCAGGCTGCAAAGGTTAAACTGGGCTTATTCGGTCACAGAGGTTTCTGGACAAACCTGTGAGGAAATGGTACCACAGTCACCGCTTTCTGAAGAACAGATTACAGGGGAAGGAGAGTGGACCTAGCAGCTGCTTTTGATTTGGGAAAAGTAACAAGGACGAAAAGTATGCAAGTCTCCTTTTTAAAGAGCACAACATGTTTAGCCATAAAAGTTTTTCTGAAGATTTCATCCTCATGTGCTCTCATTTGCCCGGCCAAGGCCAAGGCATTTACAGATCACGTATGTACTCTTTCCAAAATGTGTATGTAGAGTCATTAGAACGTTGAGACCAAAGAGTACGTTGTTTACTATAAAAGACACGTTTTATAGCCACGAACACTGCTTTGGGAAATACACACGCTGGGATGAAATTTCAGGACTCCACACATGCAGGAAGAGGATAGAATTTTCAGGTTAGAAAGGGTCATTCCATTAAAAGCTCATTAGTACACGAAGATGCAAATTTAGAGAAGTGGCCATGACTTGTCCCAGGCCACCCAGGTAGCTGTGTCCCAGCTCAGTCCCCAAACCACCGTCTGCACTAGCACCGTGTTCTCTGGAGGCGACGTCAGATTCCTGTCCTTGTGAAGCATTAAGCTCCACTCCAGTGTGTCCTAAGACTCCTGGTGCCATCGACAGCTGTAACAGATGACACGCGTGCACGATTCCCCCAACTTTGATGGGGTTTAATGCATTGTTTAAATTAGTAATAGTGGAGAATTTTGTGTGTGGATGTCTTTGAGGTTTTCTTCTCCTTTTAAAAATAATTCAGACAGGGAATTCAACTGAGCTGAGTCTCCAGCCAAAAAGGAAATGATGGGTACTGAACTCAGTAAAGCAAGGGTGCTGTGGCTTGGTGGATGGGCTTTGTCTGACATGGTTCTCATCTGACCCGCAGCGCTGACCCCTCAGAGTTTAAGGACTGAACTGTGTGGAAATGTCACATGTTCTTGTGATTCTGATAGGGGATGAGAGGCCACCATGGGAACCGACTGTCCATTAGCAAAGAGTGTAGTCTCTAACACAGAGGAGGCCAGTGCCAGGCTTCACCCAGTCAATGGTACACTCTTGAGTGTCAACCCCAAAAGAATTATCATTTTGAGCTGGAAGTGTGTTAACTGCCCTTCTTTAGCTCTAAAACATGTCATGAGGTAAATGGGGTTCTTCCTTAGACTTGAAGCTGAAATAAAACATAGAGAATTAAAGACCCCAAATAACATTCTTGCTCTGGAAGGTATGGCTGGGGATACAGGATGTGGCAGGAGGCACAGGTGACAGTCCCCCCACCCAGTGCCATGCTGTATATGGGGGTGGGAGCAGTCAGAGGTGACCTAACCTGCCCTGTGGAGGTAAGGAGGGGCTTTTCATCCCTCGGTTTCAAATGTGTGGTTTGGGTGCTATGTGCCTGGACGCTGCAAGTTCAATCAGCTCCATTGCTCGGCTGTTTCATCTGCTACCTTCCCAAAGAACAGAGACAAAACAGAAACACTCCCTCATTGTCCCCATAGGGGACAGAGGATAAGCGCTCCTGATTGCTGCACCGTATGGCACACTCACACTGCTTCTTTGTCCCAGACCTTCGTACGGCATTTTCTCTCAGTTTGTCTTCTGTGAGGGAAGCCACAGAGCAAGCAAGTGGCGTGTATGTGCGTACGTGTGTGTGTGTGTGTGTGTGTGTGTGTGTGTGTGTGGTCTCCTACACGTATCTGCTTTGGAGTCCCCTGAAAGTCAGAAGAGAAATCTTATGTGTGGTACACAAAGAGCATAAGCTGCCAGGAGAAAATATTTCAGATTCATAAATTTCACTAAATAATCATCTGCCTTGTGGCAGTAAAGGATTGTGACTTGTAAGACTCTTGAGACTGGACACTGCCCACCGCTGAATGCCTGGCCCTGTGTTAGTCTGAGGTCTGTATGTTTGAATGCAGACATAGGAAACCTGGTGGGCCCCTTGCGTGACTCCTCCCGTGGGAAAGGACTTGGAACTCTAACGCTGCTGGTCTCCTCCCTCGAGTGTCAAGTCTCTCCTGTGTCAGGGGTAGGACACTTCCTGAGACACGATGGCCTGAGATTTCAGGGTGGCAAGGTCGTTGTCAACAGGGGCAGCCTGGCCCAGTTTCCCCAGCCCTCAGGGTTTGCTGAGTATTCAGAAATGTCAATATGGATTCTCTTAGAATCCGTGTGGCTTCGTGGACCAGTGGCCTTCTATACTCACCAATAACTTGCAAAATCTGACTGAACAATACCCTTAAGGGATACCCATCCCTCTAATACAGCCAAGGATGCCTGTTCCTTGGAGGATTAAAAACAGCAGTGCATTCTGGGTAAAGTCCTTGGCCACGCCTGATTCTGATTCTGGCTTTGCCTCTGTGTCTAGCTCTTTTCCTCCCTTCCCCTGGGGACTTGAGGGTGGTAGGTAGGTCCAAGTGGTGTTCTCTGCGAAGAAATTCTGTTTTTCCTCCTATAACCCCCTTAGGAGTGTGACTTAATGTTTGAGCTCTGTGGATAACACTGCTTGTAGAGTCCTACTTCGTCTGTCCCACGAGCCACGGCATCACCTAACCTGGAAAACTTTCTTCTTTCCCGACTCTTTGTAAAACGGTGGTAAATGTGTCACTCTGTGCAACAAAGAGGGTGGAAATATTTTCATTTGGTGCCAGAGCAAGTGTTTATTAGGGGCCAGTTTAGGGGCTTGAATCTATTTTGCTGAGGGTCACGCGTGCTTTCTCGTTTTTGGCGCACCTCTCAAGCAACTGAGAAAGATTCTGTGCTTTGGCATGCACACACACACACAAAAGCCAAAGAGAGATTAGAAGTTAGCCATTGGGCACCGGCAATTGGAGAAATTCTCATTTGATTATTGTTTAAGGAAACGGAACATGATCCAGCATGAGTCAGTACGAGACAGTTAGACACGATGAGAACTGAGAACCAGGCAGTTCCTAGGGAGCCGGCGAGGTGATCATGGGCCACCTAGCCACATCTGGAGACTGCATCCTGGTTTACACTTTAGCTTTCCCCAGCCAGTGAATGGCTGTGGAGTCTGCAGCCGGTGTCAGTTACTTACCAAAATCATTTTTACAAAGCGTTTCCATGATATCGTTGTCATCTTCGTTTTTAGTCTTGCAGGCTTCACACACCTTCGGAGCTGGAAACGTGAGAAAGGGTTTCAGTGAGTCTGCTTCAACAGGGACAGCAGGCGCCCATTGTCCCATGTGACCCTGCTTCTGCCTCCTCTATAAAAATAGGGCCCCTTGTTGCTAAGTGCTGCTCTTTCTGTCTCTGACTGCACACCCTGCCTAATAGCACTGTCCCCCAAACCAAAAGGGAGTCGCGGACAGTGGATCTGTGGGTGCTGCAAGATGACCCAGAGGCTTCAGCTTTTCAGTTCATCCTCCTCACTCCTGGGATGAAGTCAGTCATTCCCGAGTATCTGTTTAGAAAGCACCAGAAGATCCAAACCCCGGAGGGACGGGGAAGATGTATGACCATAAAGTACGGTAGAGAGATGGTTCTAATCCGCACGAAGGGCAGAAAACCCCTCTTGCTCGGCAGGGAGCTTGGTCTGGGGGAATCTTTTGCATAAATTTTCTCATCTGGGCCTGGTGGGATGGCTAGCGGCGTGCTGTGGGGAACCCGCAGGGCCTGTTTGCATCTTGGAAGCACGTCTCAGTAATTCCAACAGCCAGCTCTCACTGGCTCCCCTTCACCTTCCGCTTCCTGCCAAGTTTGTGTTTGACTGACTTATTTCATTATTCCCCTCCAGATCTCTGGTACAGGAGCTTGTTGCCTATCCTATGCAAGCAAACAAACCCCAAGACTAGCTGATCCAGAGGAAGGAAAACTTTCCGTGGGCTTTGTCTGAGCAGAGGGCCAGGGATTCTGTGTGTTCACACAGCTATGGGCCTAAGACTGTTGTAAGAGAACACATGCTCATGAAAAAGAAGAAAACATTTTTTTTCCGCTGATTTATAAACATGCCTAATGTTGTCTTTAAAATTTGAATGCAATTATATAGGTTTTCACTAGTATGCAATTGAATTTTCACACACACACACGCGCGCACATACACACACCCCTTCGTGACTCATAATAGAAAAGATACCCGATTTTAAAAATACCAAAGAGCAGAATTTGCAGGCATATGGGCTTATTTTGAAGGAAGAAAGTGAATTTTGGAGAAAATACCTAGTTTACCAAAAGCAACCCACACAAAACTGCCTCAGCTCTCCCCATCCTGAGAGAAACACTTCCACTGGGGAGGGCTCAGAATGTCTATGAAATGCCACCAACCTGTATTGGTTACTCTGGTATATGTTGGACAAATGTTTGAAAAATGCCAAGCATTTGCAATAAATTAGAAACCTAACCAATAAGATGATTGCAGACTCATGGTGCCTGCCAGGAAAGATTGCTAAACAACTTTGTATTTTCTTGGACTAATGATGTCTGCAGGAAAACAATTAGAGATTGAAAGGGAGAAGCTGCTGGATCCGGGAGAGGGATTAGGAGCCCCTTTCTATTTTAGAGGGCCTAAATCAGCTCAGACACATTGTATACTTTTTCCTTTCAGGAAAAATAGCAAGCGCCCATGAGGTTTTCATTGCTTTGATGGTGTTTGCCTATGAACTTCTCTCTGTTTTCTAAAAATTTGAAGGGACTCTTTTGCATGATTTTCTCCAGCTAATTAAAACCACTCCTCAGATAAAAGCTGATAGTAACAAAAAGACGAATCCTGGAGATTCCCTTTATCCTCTTTTCCTCCATCACCTGGGCAGTTAAAACCGATATCCAGGCTTCCACTCGCTCTCAGCCAGTCTTCACTTTATCTCCAAGACCTAAATTGGCAAAGGACAAAAAGTAGCTCAAAGGGCGATCGGTGTGTATCGTGTGTTTTTGTCCAGTGGGACAAGAACGTGAAGAGAAGGGCTAAGCAGAATCCTCTGGCCTGGGTGTTCATCCCCAGTACCCGGCCATGCTAAACGCTTTCAGAAGCGTGGCCACAGAGCAAGCATCTCCAAACAAGAATTGGCACTTTCGGTTGACTTTCTTAACTCCCTAAGGGGAGCTGTTATAACCAGAGAGGCGTTTTGGCAAGGAGCTGGATAGCTCATGTTTGGTACACCGTATGGCAGCAGATCAGGGCAGAGAGAGAGCTTCAGCCGTCTCTAAGACTGGAACCCCCAGCCGGGACTAACCAGGATGTGGAGTGGAGGCTACGGGGTCTCCCCGCCCCCAGTCCTAGCACCTCGGGCTAGTTGGGAGTGGGTGGAACGAAGACGGAAGGCTTACCTTCCTCTGTCGCCGGCAGGAGGTGGTCGCTGCTAGCGAGGGGGATGCAGAGGTCGTTGTCCTGCGGGAAACGGTCGCATTCCAGCATGTCGGGCCAGGGGAAGCCGAAGGCGGACATGACCGGGGCACAGCGATCCTTCACCTGCACGCAGAGAGAGTGGCACGGCTGGATAGTCTCGTCTAGGTCGTCTAGGCAGACAGGGGCAAAGAGCGAGCACAGGAACTTCTTGGTGTCTGGGTGGCACTGCTTCATAACCAGCGGAATCCAGGCTCCCGCCTGCTCCAGCACCTCCTTCATGGTCTCGTGGCCCAGCAGGTTGGGCAGCCGCATGTTCTGGTACTCGATGCCGTGGCAAAGCTGCAGGTTGGCCGGGATGGGCTTGCAGTTGCTGCGCTTGTAGGAGAAGTCGGGCTGGCCGAAGAGGAAGAGCCCACGCGCCGAGCCCAGGCAGCAGTGCGAGGCAAGGACTAGCAGCAGCAGCGAGCCAGGGCCCCGCGGCATCGTGGACTTGCGACCCCCGGGGTTGGAGGGGGGGGCGGAGGCAGCCGAGTCGGGGAAGCGCGAGGCTGCCGGAGCCTGAGTTCGTCCCGGACCGGCTCGTGAGCTCTGGAAAGCCGGCGCCACGAATGCGCGAAGCCGGGCGCTGGGAAGTCGGTGCGGGCAAGGCGCTGCAAGCCCGCGCGCAGCTCCGGGGGGCTCGACCCGGGGGAGCAGAGTGAGCGGCGGTTGGGGCCCAGCCAGAGTTTTCTTGGCCTTTTTTATGCAAATCTGGAGGTGGAGTGGGGAGCAAGGGAGGAGCCAGCCCGGAGTAATCTGAGGAGGCAGGTCACTACTTTCTGGAACTGGTTTTGCGTTAAGAATGCCCCTCACGCGCTAACTGGCAGGAAATTCGGGCTGCGCCCCCTCCCCGATGCAGCAGCCGCTGCGCGCGCGCTCTGGCAGCCCCCTTGCAAGCGGACTAGCGAGGCCCCTGCGTCCCACTGCGCGCGAGCAGAGAGTGAGGCCGAGGTAGCGAAAGTTAGGAGCACGCGTGGAGCAAGGCTGGCAGCCTCGCGGCTGGGTTTGGGCTGGAACGTGTTTTATGGCGTGCCTGGCCTGCACGCTTATTGATGTTCCGCAGTCCTTGGTATCAGCACTGTGTCCCCGGGAAACCACGAACCGGCAACTCTGGGCTCTTTGTGCCTCACGGTTCCAGCCTAAGACTGCATGCTCCAGGCTGCACGGGAGAACTTCGTTTTCAGCCGAAGCGGAGCAGGCTGGCTCGTGAAGTGGATTTCCACTGCCTTTCGATGCATTCTGAATCATAAAACGTAAGAGCAATGATGCATCGAGTTGCTATTTTGCTGGGGTTTCTATAGGATTCTGTCATTGTAGAGGACTTGCCAGACTCACAAGGGTCTCTCCGTTTTGGAGAAGAGACTTTGCCTTCTGAAGGGATGTCCGTAATTGAGGCCAGAACGGGCTCTCAAACATAAATAGCTCAGGATTGCCTCGGGAGAGGCCACTGAAGCAATAACTGGGCTTATGAATATTAGCTACAGGAGGTTAATAGGTTGGGAAGGTAAAAGGCAGAGAGACTCCTGCCTAGAGGTTCCCAAAAGCATGTCCTCTGCAGAATTGGCTCATTCATCCTGTAACAACCAGGGACACCATCCTAGTCACCGGATGTGAGAAGCGAGCCAACAGGCCATCCTCTGCTCTGTATGAATAGGGAACCTAGTGCCTGCAGGGCTGTAAACTGTAAGAGGATGGAGACTAAGCATGAACAGTAAGGTGCTAGGCCAGGGAGCGAGCGAGCATAAAGGGGACTAAGAGACAGTGTGTGGGCTCGCACGCGCGCGCAGGGGCGGGGGATGCTTCTTCTCCCAAACCTACCCCTGGTCTTAAGGGTAAGCTTCCTTTTCAGTGGGCTCTTGAAGGTCCTGGGTAGGGACCCCCGGCCCCGGGAAGCGATCCTCTTTCATATTTAAGGTAGGTAGGGACATTGCTTCCTGGACACTTAGAGCCATCAGCAGGCCCTGATCACTGTTGCCCGATTTATGTTCTCATCCTTCTGGAGGCTGCACTGGGGGCTCAGTGGCCAGCACTTTTTGTGGCCCCCGCAGTCTCTACGAGGTAAAGGAGTGATGGAATGCGAACAATATGCTATTTCCTACCCACTCCTGGTAATGGACAATGCAGGAGCACTGTCTGAGTCTCGAAAGGTCTAGCTTCCATTTTTCTTACTCCCCTGAAGAAAGGTCGGGGCAGCTTTTCTGTGTCCAACCGAAGTGGCCAGAGGCTTAAAAGTCCTCCCAGATACAAACTAGTTGAAAACGAGTCACGTAAACACAAACAGGTTAAATCAAACGGCTACGCAGAGCCAGAACGCTGAAATGCTAGGACTTGGGCCCTGGGATAAGATTCAAGGCTCTCCAATATCCATTGCTCGTGGTCCCAAAGCACTCCCATGGGGTCATCTCGGGCCTTCAGAGCCCTGAGTGGGAGCTCAAGAAGCCGAAAGTCAATCCGCCTAGTTTGAGGCACTGGCTAGTTCCGGCTAGCGGCAGGCTGCCGGTGCGCCCGGCGCACTCCCGCGGGCCTAGGCATTGTTTGCGGACCTCGTACCCGTCCCGCTCGCCGCCAGGGGGCGTCCGAAATCGTACGGGAGTCCCTAGTGTCACCAAGAGCAAGGTCTAACTCCCGGCCGCCTGCTTGTCAGGCGGGTGGAAACCCAGGAGGCCTGTCTCAGACCCTTCCAGCACCGGTGCGACTTGGCCTGGACCCCACCCGGCTCCAGTTGCAATTTCTTCTCCATCTCGAGTCGTGCACCGTCCCTTTCGTCCACTACCCGCCGAGCGCCTGTGAGAGAGAGAGAGAGAGAGAGAGAGAGAGAGAGAGAGAGAGACACACACACACAGAGAGAGA